TTACCTGAATTCAACAAGTTTAACATTTGCTGGAGGTAGTAATGCTTAGCGCAGTGAGCTCTGGGACTCTATATATCCCAAGTCCCTTGCATATAGCATGTGCTTAATAAACATGTTCAAATCAGATAATTAAAATATAATGAATATATTTACCAGTTCATGTGGTCTACACCATTAGTAAAATTTCCATATTCTAAAAGTAAAAAAAATATTTCTTTGAATAAGTCATTATGTGTTTGCCATTTCCTTGGACTGGAACACAGTGGGGTTATATGCATGACCTTAACTTGGTAGCATTTGATGCTATGCTGCCACCTTGTGGTCAATTATATAAAGATTACTTTCTTTCAAAACTAAAACCAAGTGCTTTGTTTTTTGTAAGATGTGGAAAAACCACTTATTTGTGCTCTCTTTCTGGCTTAAAGTCTGAAAACAGTGTTTTATGTTTGAAGATGCAGATCAGGTATTATCTAAGAATAATCATTTATGTAGATCATCTTCTGTATGATAAATTCAGCTAAGTGGCTGTCATTTTCAAATATATACTAAAGTGCATGTACTAACATCTGCTGCGACACCACACCTTCAATGAAACAAAAACACTTTCCAAGCATTTACTATAAAGAATCGGTGAAGAGCTAGTTTTCTTCCTACTGTGTTAAGAACAGGTCTACATCATATCACATACGCTATCTATGGGAAAAGAAGCAGGTATAAAGAAAATGTACACAATAAAATCAAATTTTCTTACTTTAAGAAAATTCCACAGTTACTTGTTTAGAAGAGCGCATATTATATAACTAGCATTATCCATTGTGAAGAGGAGAGGAGAACTGCAATTGAATACAGAGAATATAAAGGATATTGCATAAGAGAAGCATTTTTTAGTGTGTTTTTTAAGACAGACCTTATAAAGAAAACTGTTATTTTCATATTCTCCCTCACAGATAGTTTATACTTAATAAACTTTAAATCTGTTCATTGAAACTTCAACGCCACATATTGCTCTTAGAAATGTTTCACTTTATATTTGACAAGTGCTTACTGAAAAAATGAATTGTGTCTAGAGCTAGTATGTTTGTGGGGGAAAGAGAACGGCCATTTCCAGTTGCCTTTACTTAGTATGTGTTTATCAGATTCTGGATCTAGGTTAATCCTATAGTCTGAGGGCCTGGAAAGATCAATCAGATGCAAAATCATGATGCTAGTCAAGTTATTCAGACTTGGGGTTTTTTTAATGCTCTTTTTTATTTACTATCATTCAACTATAGGCTAACATTTGCAGAAAGTATTTTTCTACTTGAATATGCAGTTCACTGTGGAAAGAGTAGAAATAAAGGCACACAAAATATCTATAAATGATCACTCAGTGATCACCACCATTGCAAGCATTTCAACATATCATCCAAATCATTTTTTCCCATGATTCTAAACACTGTTACAGCATCCTCTAACCTGTTTCTTTCCCTTAACCACAGGAACTCTTCACATGCTCTCTGTCATTTCATTTTGTAACTACATAGTAATTAACTTAAATATCCCCATTATGAAATTTGCAATTGATTTCAGATTTCTATTCTTACAACTTATGAATCAAAACTACAATTGTGTATCGGATTTTCATGAATATCTTCACTCACACATAATTTACATCTGCTTTTATTTATCATCTATTATGATGCAAGAAACACTCATTAAAAGGCTTTTTGATAGAAATCATGTAAACAATGGATATTGGCAATTAAGATTAATTGCAAAGTAAATTGCTCAGAAACAGAAAATAATTCTATTATCTACTACTTTAGATTCTTCTTCAGTTCCAACAACAGTGCCTTCTTACAGGTGATTTACCTTGCATTATAACATGGTATGTAAGTTTCAGGTACACATCATTAAAAAGCAACATCTAGGGCCCTCCCTGGTGGCGCAGCGGGTTAAAGCACAGTACTAAGAAGCTTAAGCCACTTCCGCATGAGTTCGATTCCCGCCTGCCCTGGAGGAGATCCACATGGCGTGGCAGACCTCTCCTGACCTGCCCACTGCTCCCCTCAGCAGTGTACTTCATCAATCTGCCTGTTCTGCTCCCCACTCTGTCTCTGGTGAATCCTCTCACCCTTCACATCTCTGGCCTGTACCCCAGTTCTGTATGAATAAATAAATCTTTAAAAAAAGAAAGAAAAAAGCAACATCTACATTTATCACTCATATTTGTCAAAACTGAATAACACATATGAAAGCAGCACAAATCATAAGTCCAACCTTACAAGTTCACAACAGTTATTGAGTTATTGTGATTCAAGGAAAGGAATGTTAGCAGCACTCTGGAAACTCTCCTTGTGCCCATTTTTACTTACATGTCAAAGAACAGCTACTATTTTTCCCTCTAACAGCCTGGTTTGTTAGCTGGTATCTAAATGGAATCATAATACCCCGTTCTTCTTGGGGACTGACTTCTTTCATAAAACCCTTTGTGTGAAATTTGTCCATGTTGTTTAGCTTGTATGTATCCTCGTATTTCCTTGCTTTATAATATTTCTTTGCTAGCAATCTTTGTCCATCTGAGTGTAAAATGAGTGTTTTCTTTTTCAATCACAACCTTTGATAATGTGAAGTGGCAGGTTTTCCTACTTTCACTTGCTTTTAATGTTTACCGTATTTTGACAATGTTCATATATTGCTCCTCTGTGGTAAACAGACGTTTACTCTACTGTGAATAAACCTTTCACTTTTGCCCAAACAGAAGGTCATGCAATAGGTCACCTGGTCTTCAATTACAAAATGTAAGAGTGACTTGTTTGATCAGTTTCCCCAAAGGCCAGTTCATACTGTTTTTTCACCAAACAACATGTCCCCTTTCTTCCAGCAAGTAACACTGTGGTTGTAGAGTCTTGAAGAGTCTTGATCCTTGGTAGTGGGAAAGGAACAAGATACTACTAGATTGCAGACTCCAAGAGGCAAGGAGTCAGTTCTCACAGACGACAGAAATCATCTTTCACCTCATGCTGGCACCTCTGACATTTGCTACCTTAGGCTTTTCTATCTTCTTTCAAAAAAAAAAAAAAACATGGCTCATCATGATTAACTCTTACTACCCTTTGGTTTAGAGCTTCACTAAGATTACAGCTGGCCCATGCATTACATACAGCTGATAAAGGGCGAGAGGGATGAAAACTTCCTCTTCAGAGCTTCCCACATCTACTAGACAGAAGAATGGAGAGGGGAGTTAGGACTACAAAAAGGGAGGAGAACTTAATAATGCAGACATTTTAAGGCTGCTACCTCACCAAGCATGTATCAAATTGGTGTGTATCCTTGATGCCTGGAGAATGGTTTCCTCATACTATTTTAAATTCTAATCTAAACATGAGAAAATATATTAGATAAGCCCAGGTACAAAATATACCACAAATGCTATTCAAAGTTGTCCAGGTCAACAAAGACAAGAAAACTGAGAAACTGTCACAGTCCAGAGCCCAAGATGATGAGACTAACTGTGGTGTGTATACAACTAAGTACCCTGTGTGAGTTTCTGGGATAGGTAAAGAGCATCAGGTTCAAAGCTAGAGAAATCTCAACAATGGGTAGAATTCAGTTAAAATTTTTCTCACTATTTGTTCTCTAATGTTGAGTAATATACTATAATAAGATAATGTAGCACAAGGATCTGGGAATGCTGATATAGTCACAGAATTTCTGAAAATCTAAAACTATTCTAAAATAAAGATGATTTATCAATGGTGATCTCCTGCTCACCTCTGACTATAAAGGTGCCTTATTTTCTTCTTTTCTAATAAACCTGTCCTTTTAAAGTATCACCAACTATATATATA